CACCCTCTTTCATTTTCCCTCAGATGTCTTTCATTTCTCTCACCACTTGTGTCTGGTGACCTAACATCTACAGTGGTGACTCTGCAGCAAGTCCACCTAATGTTGTAGTTGTTGAGTGGGCATTTTTGCAGGTGGATACCTTCTACTTGTCATCTCCAAATCAACACACAAACCACCAACAGCCTTTGATGGTACTTTTGCAAGCAGGTAAGTGACCTTAAATCCCTCTTTGAAAATAGCAATTACATGGACTCTAAAATCCTGACCCAATATCTCTCCATCACCAAAAGTTCAAACTTCAAATGACACTAATAGAAAGTGATATTACTAATGGAACTAATTGTAACACATTCAGTGTATGTTCTCCTACAGCCGCTTGCATCACCAGACTCTAGTACCACCACCCAGGAGGACTGAAATCTTAATTAATAGTAAATTACATTTTTAAATAATTGTTTATATGGCTCTGTACTTGCACCTCTCACCAACAGGCCAAGGATACTGTCAAACATCCCAATCAAATATTGTTTAGGCATTAGGGTGATGATAATCATCAAGCTGCATAAAGTCACACACAAACCCTGACGGAATGCTAATGGTAGTGACCGCCAGGCTGAACATCTGTGCGCAGACACAAGATCCCCCAAAGTCCTTCCTCTGGAGGTGTGAGGAAATAAGGCATTCAAAGGGCGGATTGTGAGCAAACTATCACATTTCTCACTTTTCTGTGTGTTTTTGTCTCCAGGGCAAAGAGTAAAGTCCAAATAATCACAAAAACGCGTGCGCAAATTTTACAGAAAGGCCGAAAAATGTCATGCACAATAAGGAAATCAAGAAAAGTGACCAGCACAGAATAGCACTTTAACTCTTTGAGTGTTCACTGCATTACCTGGGTCATGGAAAGGGACCAGAGCAAAGTTGTACAGAGGTCTCTTCGGTCTGCTCAGGGATGTTTCCAAAATCTTGGATGCTCCCTCGATAACCTGGACCAAGTCGTCATACATGGAGCCGGTTACATCAAAGACGAATGCCAAGGTGGATGCACCCTCGGGGATGTCATCCTCTGTGGCGCCAGTCTCAGTGTCTTGCCCAGCCGAAAACGCCACTGATAGAGCAAGGGACAGCCACACCAACCTGGTGCCCATTTCAGGTCCAAGAGTCTTCTCAGACAAAGTTCTTGGTTATTTTGTTCTCGCCAAATCGGAACCTCAAGGTGAATCTAGAGCTGAAGGCACAGACATCAGGCTCTCATAATGGAAAGAAAAGAACTTGTGAATATCTAAAAAGAGCACAACATCAGCCAAATAAAGCAACCCCTCGGTGGAGTTGTTACTGTTTTCGTTTGGTTTCTTCTGCAGTTTGTGTACACAGACGCTGCAGCCTCTCACCTGTCTGTGAGCTACAAGTCGGATGTCCCAGCGGCTGTGCCTGCTGTCTGTTGGATTTGCTGACTCCGGAGCCCTTGTTCAACCCTGTCATACAAAGACCACCTCTCACTTGCACAGAAGGTCTCCAAGACGCAAACTTCCCCTCGCAAAACAACAGGGCTCTCTCATTGGAGGAAGTGTTTGGGGTGACTTAGGGGGGCCGTGTGCGTAATTCACTTAATTACAGTCACGTTATAGAACAACGACGTTATACAAACAGATGCAGCACTCTCATGCTTCCGCTATCAATTATCTAGGATCATAAATATGTGATTTTGATGGGCTTACATACCAGTAGGGCGCTTGTTGTAGCTCTCACTGGTTTGTTGAGAAGGAACAAGGAGTCCAACCCGATTAAATGCAAATTATTAGAAATGTAATTAATGTTAAACTATTGTGAATCCAAATATTCAGACACGAAGCACTTAATTAGCTCAAAATCGCGAGTTGGGTTATGAGACAAGCTGGTATAAGACAAGGACTATGAAAAAAGGACTTCAGTGATTTTATGCTCTGTATTACCATCTAGCGGTTGTGGTATGACTTCACACTTACTTCTCTCCCAGTAATATGCTTTTAAATCTTTTATTCGGAGTGCAAATACTGTATTGGATTGAAATAGATGTCTTCTGTCATTAAAAAAGTCTTCATAGGAGTCATGTTGTAAGTTTATAAAAACGTTGTCAACAACAAGGACAAAACACCACCAACAATAACAGCAAAAACATTAACAAAGGGTTTCACATCAAAGTAAAGAAGATTTTTAAAAAGTGACGAAACATGGAAGTAAAGGGCAGTTAATCAAGTCATGACATTTATGCGGTTTATAAAAAGAGGTAAAAACATTTTAAAAAATGGTTTCTGTCTCAAAGGTTCATCAATTTTTAACTTAACTTCAGCTAGAAAAGCTGAAGTGAAATGTTCAGGTTTTCCAGGACATTATGGCGTATAGTCAAGCTTTTTTACAAACTTTCATACTTTTGAAAATATTCAGCATTTATTTTGACAATTTTGCCCCATTCAAATGAATGGGAAAATTCTACTTCAGCATACTTTCAGCTATTTTAGGTATCAAAATGTTCACTGAGAGCGTCATCACTGGCTGCATCACTGTGTGGTACGGAGGTTGTACTGCCTCCTGCAGGAGGACCCTGCAACACATAGTGAAAACAGCCACCAAGACCCGCAGAGCCATCAGCATTGCTGATGACACTTCCCTCCCAAACTTTCACTGTCCTGTTCAGATTCTTTGTACAATATTTCACATTGCCCACTTGGATTTCTTACTCAGTGACAGCATGTCATTGCCTAAGAGATGTTTTTGTGTTACTGCCCACAGTACAGGTCTGATAGGCTCTTCTGTGATCACGGAGTGATAACTATTTTTCATGATCAACCTCACACATCTCTCTTTAGCTGTGTGCATTTATATATGTATGTATGTATGTATGTAAATATATATATACAGTGGGTATGCCCATAATACATCACATCGGAGAGTAAAAATCTGAGTTGAGAAGCTGAACAACCATTAGAATGATCCACCAACATGATAAGCATAAAATAAAAATGCACTGATCTGTACTGTAGATTCATGCAAAATGTTCAGCATAATTGTTTTTGGTAAATAATGGGTTTTCATATTTTGAAGTAGATGTTATAGTATATTAAACTGTATCAACATTTTATTTTTAAATCACAATGATTTTGCTTTAATAATTCAGATGCTTTACATATTACAAATGTATTTTTAAATTTTGAATGATAATAAATGCAGGACCTCTAGACTGAAAAACGTTCTTTCCGACTGCCTATCAGGTTTGCCCGGCTGCACCTGCCCTTCTCACCCCCCTTTCTTATTACTTCTGTGTCGGTTTTTTCCACGTTCCACACCTGCCATTGATTCCTTGATTTACACCAGCTGCATTCACTTAGTCCCTCACCCTACTTATACCCAGTTCACTTACCACTCTGGTTCCAGTTCATCATTGCTCTCAGGCTGACAACCAGCGCCTTCTTCTCTTCAGCTTTAGATATTCATATATCCAGTTTTTACTTTATCTCTTTTCGCCTGCCCACTCTGTTTCCTCTCCTTGATCTCCTCCATGGACAGTTGCCTCCGGACCATTACTCCTCACCACCCTTCCAGCTTCCACCAGCCAGGTCGTACACAGTCACCAGATACCATCTGCTCACTGCTTGTTTTCTATCCTGTCTCATCATCCATGTCCCACCTCTACTGGCCAGCTCAGGAGTGACCCCAGCATCCACAGCTAGGCCAATCTCATCATTACTTCATTGGACTGTTTCTGTAACTGATCGACACCCAGTTTGTCATCCCCATATTCCTGTTTACCTTTTCTTCTCACTGCACTGTAAATAGTCTGTGAAAGCACCATTAAATTTAGCTTGCACTGAAGTCAGCCATCTGGGTCCATTCTCTTATTTTTCGCCTGCTCACCCTCCTGTGCGTGAGCGGTCCTAACATTGCCATCAGACTCCTAAACAGCTGACTCAGGATCTACCTCATATTATTTCATCTGTACCGTTTACATGCTCATTTTGTACATGCATAATTGCATTATATTGTGTTCCTGTTGTATTTTTATTGCTTCCTTCACCTGCTTCATCCCCCCCCACGGAGGTGTGTGTGGATCCATGTGGGTGAGGTGCAGTATAGTGTGGCCGTGTTTGTAGCTCTCTGCCCAGACAGAGAGAGGGGCAGAGGGTCCCTGCCTAGGACTTAGAAAATATTCAGATTCCTGTGCCTCTGGTACACTGTTTGAACTTTGAAAATTTTCTAACCCGTGGTCCTGGTACTCCGCTGTCGGAACTAATAATTTCTAATTGCGGACAGGTGTACACTGTCTGAGCTAATCTATAAGTGCTAACAGACTTAGAAAAATTTCTGTTCCCTCACAGTGTAGTACCAGGGGCATGAAACTAGAAAACCTTTTTAACAAAAGTTCTGGAAGGGCCTTTCAAACTCCATTTGGAGTACCGGGGCATGAAGTTGTGGCTGGGCGGTTTTTGAATTGTGTAGCGGGGGGTAGTGCTTGAGCATGGGTACACAGGTTCAACTGATGCACAGGGTCCCCTGGAGGTCTGTGGTTCACCGGGGGAGCTAGCCAGCACCTTGTGGATGATTTTGGAGCAGTATTTGTGGGGTGAGAAAGAAACGTAGGATGCAGCATAAATTCAGATAAAAATTGAAATGGAACGTTGTAGTCATTGACTAAACCGCCCTGCTGCTTAAAGTGCCTTAGATTTTGTGTTACTTATCTACTTTATATTTCATTTGTATTTTGTGGCATTCATATGGACGGCAAAGTAAGAATTTCATTGTACAGGGAAACATGTTTCCTAACTGTGCATATGACAAATAAACACTTTGACCTTGACCTCAACAATGCATCTTAGAACAAATGCAATCATTTACAACAATTGGTTAATAATACCAAAAACATAAAACATTTTATTCACTCTCATTGAGAAGAGAAGAAGAAAAATGCATCTCTCAAATAATTCTGACACTGGACTGTATAGGTGGAAGGGCCTGCTTTTCTACACAACACACAAAAAGAATTTCAGAGTATGTGCACCGCAGATGTATTTTTTGCAGTTGGTGCATGTGGTCTGTGTCTTGGAGTTCTTTGAGGGTCCACACACTTTGCAGCGCTTCCTCTTTTTGCCAGTGGCTGCTGGAGGTTGTGGTTGTGTGGGTCCTGCAGGTGGGACAGCAGGGATCCTCCTGTATCCTCTTAACGATAGCAAGAAAAGCTGGGTTCCTGGGCACATGTTGTCTCCTCTGTGTGTGTGTGGTGTCACTAGTGCCTTGCCTAGTTCCTCTCGAAAAAGATGTCTTCTTTGGAGCTTCTTCTGTTTCCAGTCCGGGTTAAGTGCCATCCAGATTACGAAAGTGTTGTATGCTGAAACATCTAGGATGTTGAATAAAATCGCAAGTGGCCACCGGAAAGTTCTTCTTTGGCAGCTGTAGCAGGATAGCAGCTTGTCAAGATTGTCAACCCCTCCTTTGGTGGCATTGTAGTCAAGTATGACCTCTGGCTTGTGGTCTTCCCGGCCGCTGATTCTCCCATCCCTATGAAGAGTGCTCATAAGCATCACATTTTTGCCCTTTTGGGGTATGTAGGATACGAGGGCAGTGTTGGCCGTAAACACAAAGGTGGAGGAATGGATTGGCCTGTTCTTTACAATTAGAAGCTGAGGTGGGAGCTCAGTCCTGTTTTTTCTAATTGTGCCAACCATTGTCAGCTTTCTTTTGAGAAGTTCCTGTCCCAGGCTGTATGTAGAGAAAAGAATTATCTCTAGTGATGTGCCCACTGAGGCCCTGCATCACATCAAGAACAACCTGTGTCCCCTGGTTTTTCTCAGTGGCTCCTCCCTCCTGTCCCAGGCTGTATGTAGAGAAAAGAATTATCACAAGTGATGTGCCCACTGAGGCCCTGCATCACATCAAGAACAACCTGTGTCCCCTGGTTTTTCTCAGTGGCTCCTCCCTTTGGCTTCCCTGTATAAATTTACATGTTCCATGCATAATATGATGTCACATCACAGGCAGTCCATATTTTTATTCCATACCTTGCCAGTTTGGAGGGCATTTACTTACAAGTCTGTAAGTCTACAATCCATTTCCAGCTACACCTAGCTGATTTATTCTCAAGGTCATTCTGTTTGTTTGTTTGGGATTTAAATCTGGACAACACTGACTTAGAACCGCTCCAGTCTGGCCAACACACGACCAGATAGGCTGTTGCTAAAAATCTTCAACATCCAAACATTATGA